TCAGCAGGAGATGAGACAGCTATGCCACCATGCAAATGAGACAGGCTTGAAATATGATGAATCTTCTATCTCCTTTTCCTACTCGACTGACACTCGCTTTGAGGAAGGTTGTAAATGCAAGAGAGATTGTGGTATAATTCCTCAGACTGGCGTTTCTGCCCCCCAGTCACTATTCGATTATCTTCCAAATTGCTGTGTTTCAGAGAGATAAAGATTTTTTATGGCTTGCTGACTTGAAACAACCAGAAGAGCTAGAAAAGAGATGGCTAACCGGCCATGCATAGTAATTCCATTGGTAAATGACAAAATCTTTGTTTGTATGACATTTCCAAAATTACTACAGAAGATGAATCTAAAATACAAAATGTCACATTTGGCATGCAAAACTATCACAATATATTTCAGTATAAAATTCATAGAGGCGTTTAATTTAGAATGTGTTTAATAACGAAGTCTGCCTGCATCAGTAATCCTGCCTTGAGGTTTAAAAAGATTGTCTTATTTATTCACATAATGTTAATTTTTTTATATATGATTCAGAAACCAAAAATATTAAGGTTAAATCTTCATTGTTAATTAAGATTTTCTAATTAAGCTGAAAATAATTGTCATTCAGATTAGTTGTTAAGTACGGTTTGTGTTGAGAAACAAAAGAAGTTTAACAAATTCAACTGTTTATTTAACTGCTTAATTTAATTCTAGAAGCTTTCTATCTATATGGAAATATGCTATCTCTTCCAAAATAAATCCAAGACAGGATTAAAGAAGAGATTATTAGCTACTGTAGGTTTAAACTGTGAGACTACTAAACCTAGTAGTCAAGGTAGCTATTTGATTCTGAGGTGAAGCATGGATTCTTGTATCACATTGCATTAAAAGAAGATGACCTAGCACTAGTGTTTTCTCAAAATAATGGCAGAAATTGATTCCTCGTAGAAAGAAAAAAAAATGTTGCTGATTTGAAGTACCAAATAATTAGTTGTTGCAGAAGCAATTTTATCCATTGAAGTCAACACTGGAGCCAAACTGGGACTCCCTGGTATGTGCCTGACCCTGCAGATTGCATTTGGGCAGCACTGAAGTATCCACTGGCATAGTGGGACAGACCCCATGCCTTTACTCAGGCAAGGATCATACTGCTGTGTCTGTTCCCCTCTGACAACATCCACACTATAAGCTGAGCATACAAGGAAAGCACAGGAAAGGCATTTCTGATACGAAGCACAGCATTTATTCCATACTAAACATTCTGTAACTCAGACAACATCTTGTCAACAGCAAGCAGCAGATGTTTCCTTTTGTCTGGACTTGGAATAAAAGTGCCTGTAGGGAGTTGTTATTAAACTCTACACGTGTTGCACTTTGATTACTATTTTTAAGAGAATCTGATTATATGATAATCACAAGGTGAAAGGATACTCTGCATATTACACAGCACTAATAGCTTTGGCAAGGCTAATAATTAGTATAAAAACATGGCCTGCCCTGTCTTTCACTCTGTGCCTGCAGCCTGCTCATCACACCATGTATTGTGCCTGTCTTGTAAAGCATGGTATATTTTTGAAGGTGTTGTTTTCTAGTTAATTCTGCCTTATTATTGCAGACTAATGGCTTCTGGTGTCATACTTCAACAGCTCCACCTTCCCCGCAAGGATGCCGAACATTTTATTAGTAGTATTTGCATTATTTTTTTATCTGTCATCTCTATGGCTTTTGACCTCCCTAATTGCAGATCCTCAGTTAGCAATAGGTAATTGCAGGTTGAACAAGAAGCATGTTGTCTGCATTTTGGTAGTTATTTTCTAGAAGCAATTTGTTCTGGCTAATTGTATAGCTAAAGTCAGCTCAACCCAGGTCAGTAACTCAGAGCCTTCTCCCTAGGTTGACTGCTCCAAGACACCGCAGCCGATAGAAATTCACATCAAATGCCTGAGGGGAGTCAAAGATAAGGTCCCTAAAGGCCACTATACCCTCAAGGTTTCTGTTCTCAGCCGCTTAGGTGGTGGCTTGCTGGAGTGGCCCAAAGTGAAGGAGCAGCCTCAGGCCAGGACAACACGGCCTATTAGTCACGATGGAAACTTCTACAACACTGAAATCTACTTTGGACAAAGTATCCAGACCGTAAGCAACACTTCTTAAATATGTTATCTTTGCTTTGAAAGTTAAAACACATCCGCTCTTTCTCCTTCAGGCTTATATATTTAATGCATTCCATCATGTTCATAATTTATTTAATAATTTAAGGTGCAATTTAGGAGGGTGCAATTTTTTTTCCCCTAGGTTAACCCTCATCACTCACTCTAAAAGTGCCAAATACACACTACATCACATAGTGTTGTCAGCTAATTTTAAATTTTACTTTTATTCTCTCTTATCTATGCAGCTTGTCAGCTATGTAATTTGATTTCTGTAAAGTAGCTTTAGAATAATAAATGAACGAGTGGGTGTATATAAACACATGAATGCCCAAATCCTTCTGTGAGTTTTTAGCTCCATTGACCCCCATTTGCCAAAAAAGCAGCATTTGGATTATTTTGGAAGGAGCCCAAACACTTGAGGCTCTATTCTGTCTTTTGCGACTGAGGCACACATATTTTCCTGCCTAAGCATGCTGTGCGTGGCAGGATTGTTGTGTGTCAGTTGCTCACTGTTTTAGCTAATGCCTAGTGCTGGTTGAAACATTGGTCTCGGATAAACTCTCTGGCACAGGAGAGCTTCCTTACGGTTGGAAAAACAACCCCCATCTCTCTGTGTAGTGTTTTTGTGTGTTATGAGGCATCGGTAGAACGAGAAGGAGAGTTTTTTCAGTTTTCAATTATTTATTTCGCAGTACGACCTGAACAGTAGATTTCCTCCTCCACCCTTTCTGCTGTGTGAAGTGTTGTGTAGATACAGAACAGACAGACAGTCCCTATCCCAAAGAGCTTTCAGATAAAGCAACTTTTATGTATGGCATTGATCCTTTCAGTTACTTGTGGATAGGTCATTTCAGCTATTGGGTTCGTGATGTATAAAGTGCTGCTAAGTCACATTTTCTGCTTTTTAATTGTTTGTTATCTGTAATGGATAATGAACAGTGTGTCTGTAAATACAGCTGTTGGTATGAAAAGAGTCGTGCATTTAGAGAGAGAAATTGTGAATGTGCCTGTCACATGATGTTATAACAAATACATATATCTGTCAGAGAAATCACTGAGCTGGGATTCCTCCCTAGGCAGGATGCACGCATCCTGCTTACTGCCTGGAAGGCAAAGTACTGTCTTCTCAGGCTTCATTCAAAGGAGAAGACCCTGAGTGGTATGACCAAATGACTCCCACATGCCTCGCCTCTCGCTTTCAGCATTGTGTTTCTCCTGGGTCTTGCCTGCTGCTATTGCTCCTACCTGGGGAATGTAGTAGGAAACTGTGTACCTCTGTTCTCAGTACTAAGCAAGAGCTAGTTCAGATTGACCCGTCTTTTGTCCAGCTGATTCTCAACACAAAGGAACTCCTGACATGAATTTGTGAGGAATATGTGGAAAGTCCACGTACTTTTCTTTCCGTTAGTCTCTACTGGCTTGTGTGGGCACCTCAGTAACTGCTTAGAGGCGTCTATTATGCTTCATCCAAAGGTCTGAGAGAAATGCTTGGTAGTTTTACCGTTTTTCCAGAGTTTGCTTTAAAGTCCTCTTTGACTCTCACAGAGAACATTTAATTAGCATCTTCACCAAACTTAATTTCTAGTCTAGCGCACTAGAGTGCAAGTTTCAGCAAGTCCGCTTAAAATGCAGGACCAGAAGAAGTTGGATTGTGACCTTCTGATGATTCCCTGTCCTCATTACTGTATAACAGACAGCAAAAGCTTAATGTAATAATTTTAGAGCCTCCTCCACCAGCTCATTTTGAAGATGTAGGTGGTGTACTCTGAATAATTCCACCTTTCTGTTCTTCCACCTTGGTATTGGCCCATAACCTTAAAGAACGTTTCAACATAAACCCTTAGGTTCTGTGCTGAGATGAGGCAAATTTTAGGCTTCAGATGGTCAGCTTCTACTGCAAAACTTAGCGTAAGTAGTGAGGTCTTAGTGATGAGCTCCAGCTGAGCATCTGGGTTTGAATACAATCTTATATACAGCACTGCTGCCCTGCGATGTATTACAGTGGGGAAAATACAAGTGCTCACAAATGAAGAATAAGCTCTTATTTTTATTGGCCAGAATAATGATAGGAGTTCAGTGTAAACATGGTGAAAATGAACACATGCTTGCTCAGTATTGAGGGAAAGCCTAGTTTTAACTAATATATTAGAGAAATTGTTCCAGAACACTACATCCTTCCAAAAATAATAACCCTGTCATGTCGGCAAAGTTGGTGTCAGCATGGGTTACCTGCTGCGTACAGAAAGTGCTGGTCATGTAAGTTAGATCTGCCTCAGGGCTAGTCTGACTTGCGCACCCGACCTTTCAAAAATGTTTTTTGTTCATTAATCAATGTTCTTTGCTCCGGCTTGCCAGCTTCCCTCTTTCCCCTCCTTCACTGTCCTCCTTTTTAGTTTGTCAACCTACCTCCCCCAATAGCCTCTGACTACCTATTAGACAGTGGCTACTAATAGCTCCAGTTGAATTTTATTTGGTTTTCAGTGAGGCCAGACAGTCACACGAGTCATTTTCTTCCTTAAATTATGCTGGACAAAACACGTATGAATGCTTTGGATTGGGATAGAATGTAATTGCTGTTTCAAATGACTCTTTACAGTAAAATTTTAGGAATAGCAACTAACAGCATGATCTGAAAGGGATTTGGTTTAGACCCAGCATTTCAAGGATGTTTTCATACATTTAGTTTATGCAAGGGGACTTTAGACTTAGATGGGTTAATACTGTCTGGTTTAGGTGAAGCAAGAGGTATTTTGAAGCTTCACCTGCACTGTAACACAAACTGAACATGAACTCAAGCTGAGATTCAAAAAATGCGGTAGGTTAACTTTGGCGGTAAAGAAGCTTTGTTCTTAAACATTCAATATACTCTTGCAATGCCTGATTTTTCTCAGGTCTGGAATGAAAGTTGGGAAAGGAGATGAGATGTTTACTGTTCATCTAGTAAGGCAGTTACTGCAATTAGATTGTCCTTGGCAGCACCTGCACAGATGTGACTGCATCATCTTTACACTAGAACAAGGATTTTGCCAATATAGTTTCCTTATTGCTGTCTCATGGTGGCTAAGATCCTACTATAGATAAGACCTAAGTAGTGAGTTAAACATTTTTTGTTCACAGGGTACTTAAAGCAGTGTCTTGTTACTCTATAGGATCCACGTCCCAGTGTTAGCAAGTCCAGATGACATTTTTCAGCTTAATGATGACTTGAAGAACACAAATTATTTGCAGTGTTCAAAAGTTTAATTTTGCTCAGAAAGTGGTTTGTTTTTTATTTTTTTTTTTTTCTTTTTTAGTCAGCTTTTCCAAAGTTAGTTCAGTAAACATTGAAATAGTTGTATGAAACAATTGCAATAACATATCCTTACTTTTCAGAGACAAAATAGTTATTAGCTTCAATGGAATAAAAATTGGAGTGTGGCTAAAATACTTCTCTTCTTTTTAAAAAAATGTTTTCAGTTATAATTTCAATTATAAGGGCCAAAATATTTTGTTGTACACTGCAAGTTTCACCTACTTAGAGGAGGGACCTTTAAGGGAGATGTTCCTATATCAAGTATTTGCAATAAATTTTAAACATTTCTGGAACGCTTTTCCAGCAAAAATATTACCTGTTAGGAAGCGAGCTTTTGTTCAGTAGGGGAAGTTCAGATAGGAAATTTTCAGCTATAGGGAAAAGCACTGTAAGCCAACCAGACTGACTGCAAGTGACATTTAAAAAACATTTGTTAAGCTGTCCAGTCACCTGGGATGTCAGTCCAGTGCTGCTGAGGAGAAACAGGGACAACTGTGTCAGTGTTGGGCTCCCCAAGCTGCTTTTTAACCCCAGTCCCTCTGCACCCGTTCAGCATCAGCTCTTATTCTATGCCAGCCTTCCAAAATCGGCACTTGAGCAAAAAAGTGAACTCCGGAAGTATGTGAGTGCTGGCACTACGCATTTTCCCCAGTGTACCTGGAACTCAGGATAGCACTAAATCAGTTCATATGCATATAAAGCCACCGTTTCTGACAGAACAGTTCACAGATCTGTAGATTTTTAGGGAGTATATCAACCGGTTAATATTTATGTATCAGTGTGGCAAGGTACTAGCAATATTATAACAGTAGCTGGGTACCATTTTGTTTTACTTGAGGGAAATTCAATATGAATAAAACAGCAACTTTTCAAACATGACATTTAATCCACGCATGTAAATCATACCAGGAGATCTATTATTCATTATTAAAAGGGCACCATATTTTTATTACACTGAAAATGAAACACAAATGCTGTGAAAAATTTAGTGCCTTTTCCTGAAGTTTCAGGACACTTATCATGCAGTCATCTAGCAGGGGCTGACACTCATTTTAAAATATAGCTACAAAATTAATAAATTTGAACTCTTTTGCTTGGAAAAAGAGGATGTTCTATTTCACTGAATGAGGTGGATTTATCTTTTATTTAAGGCTTCCTAAATACTTAAGATGGCAAAGTACTTTGGTAATGTTCACATTTGGAGTTAGATATATAACGAATAAAGTTCATATCTTTGTTGTTATTAGTCATTTCCAACATTTTCTTCCCTGAAGTGCATTTTGAAAACTACATATATCAGAAACTGATTAACATGACCTAAGGTATTAATTCTTAAAATATGATGAAACAAACAGTTTCAAGGACCTTATTTTCTGTATGTCAGCAGCTGTCTAAGGACTGTGATGCTTTTAGTAATTACAAAACAAGGTATCATTAGGAAAAGTAGAGCACAAACTTCGCCCCCACCCCTGTTATTTTATTCTTGAGCGAAACGCTAGCACAGATGAAGAACATTTAGCTCTAGGACACTTTATAGGACATAACATAAGAGTTTGATACACTATGAAAAAAGATAGGAAGTAATAATGCTTGGCAGTGCCAGAGGACTTTCAAAATGAGAGCCACTTAAATTTTCCCTGGATGCAATTATTTGTAGTTGGGATGATAAGGTGCTACGTGAACCTTTTGGT